AAGTAATGGGAAATCCCTAAATTACCTAGATCTAAACAATTAAAATAAATCAAATTAAAAATTATTCAACTGTAAAAAAGATTAATATGCATTATGCAAATTAGCGTGAAAAAAGGGAAAAAAATAATTAAAGATAATAAAATTAAATATTATAAACTTTATTGCATTGTGACAAATATAACTATCTGTTTCTATATTCCGCTCTGAAGTTCACAGATAGGAAAGGGTAGACAAATCCCAAAAAGTAATTCTCTCCCCTCTAATCAGATACCACAACAAAAGCAATTTATTTCAAAATAAGAAAATAAATTTAAGATATAAGATGTCAAAATAGAACAAGACCAATGAATGATATACAATGAAACAGTAAAAAAAAAAAAAAAAAAACAACTTGAATCCTTATCTTCATAATTTAAATTTTTAATTCATTCTTGTCAAATTATCATGGATTTTGACCCATAGGCAATCTGTCCAAATGCTATGGCTAAAAAAATAATTATAAATTCTAATAATGTATTATGTATGAACTATAAATAATTGAATTGATTCTATAAACATGTATTCATCAATTAAACTTTTTACATTTAAAAAAAGATGGAATTAACTAATAATAATCAAATCAATCTAATTAAAAAATTACAATTGATTTTGACAAAGTCCTCCTTAAATTATATAATCTAAAAAATTATCTTTTAACAATTCATGTCATTATCAAAGTGCATATTAGATTTCTTTATTAAACTCATTTTTTGAATCTATACATAAAATATTAAAATCTATCTATGCAAGAAATCATCAAAATTCATTGATAGGATCTTAGCAAACACCTTTTTTTCATTTCTTCGAAGATACTACACCTTCTACTATAACAAATTCATATTTAAACCTCTTAGCAAAAAGTACAACCCATTAGAAAACCTCATTTTAACTACCTGAAATGATGATTTTGTTAGCACCTTACACTCCCCTTGGACAATCACAATCAGTGCCAGAACGACAGAATGATGTCCAAGATTCCACAAGAGTAGAAAAAGGCAGTAGGACCAAACATCCCATATGAAATGTTGAGCACCTTACTGACCTCCCCTGTCTTGGACAATCACAGATCAGTGCCAGCAACCAGACAGCAGATGTTCATTTCCAAAAGCTGAAGGAAAAAAAGAAAGTTTTAGAGAGTATACATTAATAAGCAACAGATAATAAGAACAGATGAAAACAGTATATAAAAAAGAAAACAAACAAAAAATAATACAAACTATGAATCAGTTGATTGTATACCTTTAACTTGGCTGCTTTTGACTGCAATATTGATGACAGCTGTATCTTGTTTTCTGAATGCTCACTTTCTCTGCTTCTGGTACAAAAATTGTTCACTTCTGACAGGCAACTGGCCTGAATTTTTTAAGACACCCATCCAGGCTACAACTGCATGCATCCCCACAATCCGCTTAATATGAGCCACTAAAAAAATGAATGAATTTAAAACCATTTTAACTTCAGTTCACATTCATAATTAATAAAATATTGTGTCAAATTAATAAGTAATTTGGACAACTATAAGTACAAACACCAAGTAGCTTAAGTTTTGAGAAATTAGGCATTTCTATCCTACTAACAATAGTGTAATCTGAACAATCAAATGTTAAAAACATACCTTGGTTTTTGAACTCCATTTGACATTTAAGATAACAGGATAGGCGGGGAATGGGTTCTATGTTACCTCCAACATTATATAAAGAATCAAAATTCATATTGCATAAATTCTTGACACACATCAATTGCACACATTATGTCATACCCTTTGACAACCTGAGCAGGTGCCCCCTCCCCCTTTTTAATTATTTAAATCTATTTAACTTCTCTAAAATATAATTTTATCCATTAATTTTTTCAACAATTAGCATAATTAGTTCCAAATTATCCGAAAAGTGCCAATAAACTGATAAACACGAGTTTTGACCTTTGACCTGATAGGACACAGACTACCAATTATTTTGCTATACATTCCTTTATAACATAAAAAATATTTCAAAAAATTACACCGGCTCAACTTACCTGAAACTTGGCACAGAGTAAGACCATTTCAAGTCCAAAAATTTACCAAGTTCTCAGGAACATTCATAGTCTGCAAGTCCTTTTATGGCATCGCAAATAACCCCTACCCTGCTTTTTTCACTTTCTCTTCGAGGTAAGGGTAAATATGGGCCTCTTTACACCCTTCCTACTACGCACTTAAAAGCAAAATTTCCCATTATTATCATTTTTATAATTTTTTTCAGACCCTCTCCTTTCCATTTATGCCCAAAAATAACCGCTTTCTACTCCATAAACACCCCGAAGAATTTTTAAGAAAAAACCTCTATTTTTAAACTGGAACTACTTGAGTGGTCAATGAAATAGGGGTAAAATTAGTAGTCTGTAACCTAAAATAGATCTATGCACTTACCAAAGTCCGATCTAATATCCTAAAGCGTGGACCTCAAGGGAGTTAACTCACAAAGAGAGATAACTTCGTTTTTTGTTTTGTTTGTTTTTTTTTTTGTTTGTTTGCTTGTTTGTTTGTTTGTTTGTCTGTTTTTTTTTTTGTTTTTTTTTTTGTATACATCCCAAGTAAGTTAAGCTCTGCGAATGATCATTTCCATTCGATATGAAGAAAGCCCAATGAGCTCATTTTCCATGTTTTCGTAGGTAAGAAAAACTTTCGCGATATAACACGAAACACGTTTATTCGCGAAAGTATCGCGTTATAACGCGAAAAATTTATTTTTCTTACCTACGAAAATGAGCTCATTGGGCTTTCGTAAAGAAGTATGTGTACTGGAAATACATGTATCAAAAATCCATGCATCTATGAAGGAAGAGTTGTGTGAACTCGATCTGTCCTGGAGCTATCCCCATCCGACATACATGTGTATGTAACATGTAACAACAGAAAGCCATTAGTAATTACATGTATAACTAATAACGGTACCCTAAAATGTTATTATAAAACATATCCTATAGTTCTTTCCGAAACCATGAACATTGTCACAACTCAACAGTTGAGATAAATTTAATATTCACTTAAAACACATAAATTTGCTCTAAAGTAATTTTGACATTGCTACATTGCTTGTGACAAGACCTTTCTTTAGCTAGGTACCAACATATTTTATCTCTTGACCTTGGAGTTTGACATACTTTTGCAAACAATTTCAGTTTTACCAGTTTTACAAATAACCTAGGCCATAACTTTTCAACAGTTGGTGGAAGGGCTTTATATTTTTATCATTTACAGGTGTATATTCATTGTGACAAGATCTTTTTTATGGGTATAAATATTTTTGGCCGTGACCTTTGAGATTTACATACTTTTTATAACCCGTAATCGACAATTCGGGGGCATATAGTTTTTCCCCTGTTTATCCGTCTGTCTTGCTGTCCTTTGCTTGTCCGCAAAAACTGTCACATTTCACCATTACTAACTTTTAATTGCTTAAATTGAAGCAATGGCTCTCTTTCACACGTGTATTCCTTGTGACAATACCTTCCTTTGGGTATCAACATATTGGATCTCTTGTCCGACCTTTTTACCTTGACTTAGCATTTTGACCCTTGCATCGATGTTTTACAAACACTTCGAATTCTTTGTTCAATCATCTGAAACCCTGAAATACTAATTATTATCTTCATACAGAATCTTGAATTTTATGTGCATTTTTCTATATGGTTTAATTATACCCCCGCTCCGAATTATACCCCCGCTCCGAAGGAGAGGGTGGTATACTGTTTTACCCTTGTGTGTCTGTCTGTCTGTCCGTCTAGCTGTCTGTCTGTCTGTGTGTCTGTGTGTCCGTTCGAAACAAATTTTCGTCACAATTTTCTCAGCAACTACTCATCGTAGATGCTTGAAATTTTAACACAATCTTCTTTGAGGCATGCCATATGGTGGGATACATTTTTGCTAAAATCCGAACTTACTGTTTGTCTGTGCGTCTGTCCGTTTCATACATATCAAATTTTCGTCGCAGTTTTCTCAGCAACTACTCAACGTAGATGCTTGAAATTTTAACACAATCTTCACTGAGGCATGCCATGTGGTGGGATACATTTTTGCTCAAACCCGATGTCAACTTCCTGTTTGTCTGTGCATCTGTCCATTTCATACATAACAAATTTTCGTCACAAATTTCTCAGCAGCTACTCAACGTAGATGCTTGAAATTTCAACACAATCTTCTCTGAGGCATGCCATATGGTGGGATACATTTTTGTTTAAATCCGATGTCAACTTCCTGTTTGTCTGTGCGTCTGTCCGTTTCATACATAACAAATTTTCGTCGCAGTTTTCTCAGCAACTACTCATTAGATGCTTGAAATTTTAACACAATCTTCTCTGAAGCATGCCATATGGTGGGATACATTTTTGTTTAAATCCGATGTCAACTTCCTGTTTGTCTGTGCGTCTGTCCGTTTCATACATGACAAATTTTCGTAGCAGTTTTCTTATAATCTATTCATAGCAGATGCTTGAAATTTTATTACCGACTTTGTTGAGGCATGCCATATGGTGGGTTTGATTTTGATATGAATCTGATGTCATCTTCATCTGCCTGTAATTGAACTTGTGTAAATAGTATATTAACATGATAGTGCTTATTTACATCAGAGCGGGGGTATTACTAGTGAGCATTGGCTCACAGATTTCTTGTTTTTTTTCAGCTTATTGTGTCGATCCTTTCCCCGGTAAATGTATGTGACAATGTGGTCCCTGTGTGATAAGGTTTACCTATGGTATGTCTTTATTATACGCACACAGATTGCCATAACGGCTGCAGATAAGCATTGGAATCAACATGTGCTTGTTTTTGTTTTTCGTTTTACTCATGTTAGGGTTTGGAAACGTCTGTTTTACAGTACAAGGTAGGCCAAGGGACATCGATGGAGGGCCGGGTCATTTTAAAGATTTCATGACAAAAAAACTATAACTTGATTAATGACTGCATGGGGGGCAGCTTCAAATGATAAAGTTTAAGGAATTATGTAGGTCATACAATTTAATTCATGTACAAAGGTGTCGGAAGCAAATTGAATGGGATGGGGGGCTAATTGAAATAAAAAAAAATCAAACCTGGAAAAAAGCAAAAACCTTGGGTGGAGGAGGGTCTTTCAGTACCATTATAGGTTGCTATGTGTCTGTTGAAAGTGGGGGGAGGGATAAATCAACAAAAAGCGACGGTTAGGGAATGTTCAATGCCTATACTACATATCTATTTTTATAAAGAAAGTGAGGGCTACACCCCCCCCCCCCCCCCGTTCCGACGCCGATATATACTTGCATTATTATATATTAAACAGAAAGTGCATTGCAAGTCTGATACACATTCCTTTAATAAGGGGTTTTAAGATAAGCGAGGAATCGTCTTCTTACAAGGATGTTCAATTTTATAGAAATACACACACGTAGTCACTTATTTCTTTTCATGGCATTCTTATGCCCCCTTCGAAGAACATGGAAACATTGTTTTGCTGCTGTTGTCTGCATTTCGGTCGGTCAGTGGTCTGTCTGTCTGTCTTCCGGCCCACCATCGATTTCCGTTCATTTTGCATGATATACTGAAAAGAAGTTTGGCTTTTGTGAAAGAAATTATGCCAAATTCTGTTTTGGGTACGATCAAGCAATTTTTGATAAATTTATGCTCCTTGAAGGACTCAGATAAATTCCAAAATTATTTACATTTTCCATCCACTTTTTTTCTGAGGTTGTAGTAAGACCCCTTTTTATTTCTTTTTAAGTCCATGACCATGACTGTCCCCATCCGTGCGTTGTAAACGGTCATCATTTCTGCTACCCTCCGCCCTGCCCACCCCCGGCATGTTCGGACCCCGTGTACGCCCCGGGACAATGTTGTACTGTCTGTCCAGATGACTGTCCTCACGGAACCTGCAGAGTGGGAAACAGGACTATGTGTTACCCTGTTCCCTGCCCCCTCCCCCCGTGTGATAACCCTGTCACCACCCCCGGGGACTGTTGTCCACATTGTCCGAAAGGTACGTGTTTCTCTACTTCGTGGAACATTTTCAAATAATTTTCTTCTTTTTACATTTTGTGTTTCTAGCTTAATTGACATGTGTGAATTCATGAACCCTTTAAAGCAAAATGTTTATTTCATTGATAAAGGTGCGTACTTCATAAAATAAATAAATATTGAAATGTATTGTGTTGACAGGTGCACGTGTGTGTGTGTGGAGAGGGGTAGTCATATTTAATCGTTTCTAACTTATTGAATTCATTAAAAAACATGCATGAATTTCTAGAGAGCAGAAATAATTTTATTTCCAGACTGTCCTCATCCATGTGTCGCTGGAGGAAAGACCTACTGCCACCCAGTACCATGCCCCCACCCTCCGTGTGACAACCCCGTGACCACCCCCGGGGACTGCTGTCCTCACTGCCCGGACACTCTGTAGATATATGTCAATAAACCTAAATATAGATCATTGATCAGTCGACTAATGAAATCATTGATGAAAATGCACAATGAATTACTTTTTTCCCAAAAACTCATGTACAAATAAATACTGTATGTGATATACTGTTTGAATATTTTTGTAAAAGAAATCATGATTGTAAAAGGTGTCATACAATTTTTTTCAATTTTAAAAAAATCAAAATTCAAGTCTTTAATTAATTTGGCGGATAAAGCACTGGTAACCGGGTCAAGGGGGGTCTGCCCCCTCTGATTACAAAGGAAGAGTACTTGTCAGTTTCATCACATGCATATTTACTCCAGCTTGAAAAGTGAGAAGGTATATATGTAGTGATCGGAATGTCCATCCGTATGTCCGTCTAGCTTTACGTCTGTTCGTTGCACTTTTCGGGTACCCATCTCTTATCCGCAACTCCTCATACCACTGAATAAAATTTATTTTACGTTTTGGGTTTCCGGCCTATAACAAAATATCAACACTTACTCCCATTCTTTTTATAATATTGAAAGGCGCCCATGTCTTATCTGCAACTCCTCCGAGTCCTATACAACTGAATAAAATTTTATGTCTTAGATACTTTCACAGATTTTTTATAATAATTACATTACAGTGGCGGATTCAAGAATCTTGAAGGGGCGACCAGTTTAGGGTTGGGGAAGGGGCCACAGCCACCAAAAACAAAACCAAAACAATTTATTAAAACGTGTATTTTTTGAACACAAAAAGGGGAGGCGTATCTGTGCATAGTATGCCATTATGCATCTCCTTTTTTTACTTTTTGATCTGACATCCATTTCGGATCTCCCAGAGTAAAACATTGACTTTGCCATTTGAATCGTATGGGAGTCAGGGGTATCATTTGTTGAGTAACCGATCAGTGCTAACAGTACTTCTATTTCAATTAGCATCAGGAGAAGGCAAGCAGCTGGACCATAATATATATGCACCTGCCAAATGAACTGTAAAAGTTTCTCTTGCAGAAGTTTATATCACATTTTGAAATAGGTGTTAATGCGGCATTTTATGTAATTTTGCTTTCCATGCAAAAATGTCCTCCAAATTTTACACGGTATATGTTTTTCACTTTGACCATTAGCCGCAGAACTTGAGCGTTATGGTTTTATACTAGTATTGACCATAACGCTATAAGCTACAGATCCCCTAAAGCAAAATAAGTGCAATTTACGGCGCAATATTTTTTGCGCACTTTTGGTGAGAATTTCTCCACTTTTCAGCATCTGTCAATTAACTACCTTTCACTCTCTAATTCTAGGCACATTATTTAACTATAATCTGTATATTTTATCCATCTCCCAACCCTTTATAATCTTCTCTACAAGTGATAAACTAGCTTGATTAAAATTATTTGTTAGATTGCTGAAAATTCACTTCAAGCGAGTTTATTGCCTATAGAGACAACTATAAATGGTTGGGAGGTGGATAAAATACATACTGCTACAAAGTGTGTGTAGAATTAGGGAGTGAAAAGTACTAGATTGACAAATGCTAGAAAGTGGAGAAATTCTCCCCTAAAGTGCGCAAAAAGTATTGCGCCGTAAATTGCACCTTTTGCATTAGGGGATCTGTAGCGTTCGTTATGGTGAAGATTAATATATAAAACCATAACGCTACATGCAGTTCTGCAGCTATTTGACCATAGGCGCTTGGTTTCAGGACTTTTTATATACAGTCATTTTTAAAATGCGAATTTTTATTTTTATATTAATGAGGGTATTCAGACACACCTAGAAAAATACACAATACACAAAATACACCATCCTGAAACCACGGGTACCTGTGCCTGAAACCAAGCGCCTATGTGTTTGACAGGGAAACTTGACTTTTATCCGGATGTGATCGTTCTTGTTTGGGTACTAATATGCTTTTGTTTATTTCCGATTAAAATCGAAACACGACACCGACTGACAGTTCTAAGTGGCACTGCACTAGTATTTCGACACATTCTGTTTAAATGGTCTGATTAATAATAAACGGTAAGATAAGGCATTGTTTATCGATTATTTACTCATTAAAATTGTATTTGGAAGGTGTTTAATTGAGCAGCTTCAGCATTCAGATTTGCCTAGTGTGACCTTGTGCTAGAAAGGATTTTGCTTATGTCATGTTCTAAAATTGCAACTAAATACAAAATTAATTTATTATTATTCCCACCCCGCAAATTCAATTTTTAAGAACACAACACCAAAAAAAAAAAAAAAAAAAAAATCAATATTAAATTCCTAAAATTTAAGTAACAAATTGTTAAATGTACACATGGTGCATGTAAGTCTTTTTTTTTTAATTTATATAAAATATTTTAAAATGATTTTATTTTTATGAAAACATATCCTAAAATGTTATTTATCTTTACACTTGACACTTGTTTTCAGCCTGTGAGTACGTGGCCAAGAAGATTGGCCGCGCTCTGGGCGTCTCCAAAGATGAGGCATCGCCTCAGAAAACGGCCAGTTGTTCCGGTAAAGCGGGACAGGAGAAGTACCGACCCCTAAATATTTCCATTTCTAATTGTTTTCTTTATGATAAACACTACAAAAGTGTATCTTGTTAATTTCATGATAATACCCTGTGGTATGTATATTTCTCCATTACTGAAAGGTCAGGTGTCAACCTGCATGTATATCACTAGCGTATAAATATACTCAAGAAAAAATAGATGTTTTAATTGTTTACTAAGTAACTTGATATGATATATCTTTTTAACACACAAAATAAATAATGAATTATCTTCGGCTCGAAAGTAAGTCACAAGCGCAACGCTGTCCACTATGACCGAGGCCTCGCGAGCCCGAGAACTCCACTTCCGTAACAGCCACGTGGAGAAATTGACATTGCCACATGGATCTGCACGTACTCCATCATCTGATACAGACATCGTCCCTTAGTCATTACCATCCAACTTCTTAAGCAACTCAACTTCTTCTGTAATTATAACATCCATACAAAGCGGTTTCCTGACCATGCTGACCAGCTCCCGTTTCATCAACTGCAACATTGCATTCAATATGGCGGCGGAGAAGTGACATTGTGCCTATATATGTTCGTGCTTCCGACAACCTAAATCTAGGTCACATATATAATTAAAGTTAGCAAAATTGCTTTGATAATAATATAAAATTCTTTTCTTGTTTATTTTATAAATGTTGATTTTTGACAACGGTAAATATAAATAGTCAATAAATTTGTTTCGTGTTTTTGGGACTATTTTTTATAGTAAAATTTGACGTCATGGGGCCTTGTGTATTTCAAATCTACTCAATTAGACGGTATTCCGATTTATTTTAAGATGGTTATTTCAAGTAAAAATGGAAATATAAGGAATCACTGTCTAGTTTTGAGGGTATGCCAGGGACATCAACAATAGTGGGAAACATGGGATAATTTTAGCATAACGGGCTTCGCCCTTTTTGCAAATTATCCCATGTTTCCCACTATTGTTGATGCCCTGGCATACCCTCAAAACTAGACATTGATTCCTTAAATAACGGTAGGTGATCAGAGAGGAGGGGTAAGGGGTTAGTTACATGTACGAGGCGCATTGCACGCACATATTTATGAATAACGTAAAATTTATAGCATTTGTGACATGATCTGAAAAATAAACAAATTTGAAATGTATGTAATTTTTTTGTAACCATCTAAAAATATATTAATATATTATGTGTTTTGTGTTTTAACCTAGATTACCTGCATATATATGATTTAAAAAAATATGAATAGGATGTGTTTACAGAAACTTACAGAGTTATATTTTTCAAAGAAGTACATTTCAGTTCAAAAACATTCTTGTTTTGATTTATATTTTTTATAACACACTGTTTTCAATTTCTTTTATTTTATGTCTTAATAAAATTGGTAAATTACATTATAGCTTAGTATGGAGATAAATTTATGGAATGCATGGTTTGAATTCAGGGCAGATAAGTTTTTGATTTATAAAATTCAAAAGCTTAGGGTAACTAAGTACATATTCCACTTTAAATATTATGTTTTTTAATCTACAGAGAGTTCTCAAGGGAATGGTTACTCAGAAGGAGTCACCAACGGAGAGAGGCAGGCGTGTACAAAGTCGACAGGATGAAGCTAAAGAAAGGCAACTCCTGTTGCCCTAAATGTCACCGATTCTACTGCAGATTTATCTCTCTTGTTTTCATCTAGTGTGTGTAAAACAGGAATAATGATAAGTCAGTTTTAAACATGATTAACTTTATGGAATCTGACTGTGATATGATGGTATATCTCCTGTAGAAAATAGTGATTTTGATGAACTCAAAAGGACATAATGTTATGTTTTTTATGATTGAACAAAAAACAAAACACATAACCAAAAACATGTGCATGTACCTCCTTTTCTGAAATTATTTTAAATTTGAATGATTTTTAACTTACTCAGGAAAAATGCTTAATTTTTGTTGTTGTTTTTATTTTGAATGACTGTTACATTTGTAAGATTCCTAGACTTAGGTTTTATTACCCCCCCCTCCCAATTCATTATTTTACTTTTTAGATGATATCTTAAAATACATATAGGTAGTTAAGTGTTTAAATATATCTCTTATGATGCAAGGCTATTGTGAAAAAAAACTGTAATTTTATCAGTCTTACCTACTTCACTTGCAATATTCTTTTAAAAAATTCACAATTTTTAATGTGTCTGGCATAAAATTGGGAAATTATTTTCAATACAACCATAGATTTATAGCAGAAAATTATCCTGGTTTGATATTATTCTGATTAAGCATAATTGACATATTGTATATATGTGATTAATATACACTCTGACATTTACAATGTACGTTCATGATTTATATCTTTAACATCTTAATTTTTTTCACTGTCATATTATTTTGATATGTATGTCAAATCTATTTTATTGTTTTATTCCAGAATTGTCAAAACAAGTGCTAATGATAAGACTGATAAAAACATATCTTAGATATGAAGTCTGTCTTTGATGATCATCACAACATAGTTGAATGAAACAATAAAATATTTGGAATTGTTTTTCCTTGGTTTTTGAACACGTATGTTTGTTTAAACTGTTCCTTCAACAAGTATTTTAAACTGACTCAATGAGTAAAAATCGATTTTTTCTTTTATAAAGTAAAAGATATATAACATTTGTAAATACAGTTGAATTACGTGTCAGATATTAACGTAAAAGTGATAGATGGTGGGTAACTCAGTACCTGGGAACAATGATACAAACCAAATGGAGTACATTTAACTCGTGCATCTTCAGATATCAGACTCGGGGGACAAACCCCCTCGTCTGATATCTGAAGATACACTCCTTAAAAGGTACTCTATTTAAAACATATGATTAAAGTGAAATTTAGATAAAGTTGGCTACATTGCATATTGTATAGCATCCAAAAAGTTAGCTGCAGATCTGTAGCGTTATGGTTTTATATACTAGTATTTGTCTTGGACCATAACGCTACAGATCCCGTAATGCAAAAAGGTGCAATTTACGGCGCAATAATTTTTGCGCACTTTTGGGGAGAATTTCACCACTTTCCAGCATCGGTCAATTAACTACCTTTCACTCCCTAATTCTAGGCACATTATTTAATAATCTGTATATTTTAACCACCTCCCAACCCTTTATAGTCGTCTCTACAAGTGATAAACTCGCTTGATTAAAATTATTTGTTAGATTGCTTAAAATTCACCTCAAGCGAGTTTATTGCCTGTATGGTTGGGAGGTGGATAAAATATACATTTAGAATATCTTGAAAAATTATCAGTAGTTAAGGTGCATTGCATATGTCCTTAATTCTAGATGAACAATTAAGCTGCACACATAAACGTAAATCTAGCTCTACTTAGAGTTGTCGTTAGTTGCATGTACTTTTAACTACTATAATTAATAGCAAAATTCGTGGACGGCTTTCATGAAAGTTTTAAGCTTATATACCTGAAGGCTAAAGCGAGCTTTTCTGATCACATTTTGTCCTTTTATCCATCGTCTATCTCTCCGTCCGTCTGCCGTCTAGAACCACTGGACCAATTTTTACCAAACTTACCACATTAAATCATCAAATGTGAAGGGGATTCAAGCTAGATTGAATGAAGGACTATACATGTACCTTCTTAAAGCCTTCTAGCCTAAGGGAAGATAAATAAGAATTAATATTTGGAATATCTTTTTAAATTTTTCTTCTCGAGAACCAGTGGGCCAAAAAATGAACATTTATACAACCTTCTTATCATAGTGTGATTCAAGTTAATGATTTGTCAGCTAATCAAAATTCATTCTACACTAACAGAGGATGAATGATAACAGACAAGTTTCATATTTTTAGCACGGTGGATCTTGAGAAGACTTTTTAAAGATGCCACTATTTTTTAATTCAAGAATCGAAGTAGTTGGTATGGGGACTTCAACGTATTTTTTTCATTTTGTTGATAATGCATATAGAATTTAAAGACTGTAAATTTCAGGAGCCACACCCCCTTCTTGATGCACACATGCATGCATGCCTTTCAGAATCCCAAGACTTAACCATCCTATTGCCTACATTTTTCACTCCCTCATTCTAGAAACATTCTTTAACCAGTCTGTATATTTTATCCTCCTCCCAACCCTTTATAATCGTCTGTGAAGCAATAAATTAGCTTGAAATGATTTTTCCGCTGGATTACAGAAAATTCAAATCAAGCCGTTTTATCACTTTTATATATAGACAACTATATAAAGGGTTGAGAAGTGGATAAAATATACAGAATCGTTTTAAAAAGTGTCTAGAACGAGGGTGTGAAAGGTAGTTGATTGACTAAATCTATAAAGTGGAGAAATTCTCCCCAACAGTGCGCAAAAACATAAAACCATAGCGCTACAGTTCAGCAGCTAACCCTGTGTACCAAACAATTACAAAAGTTAGCAGGCCAGTTTCAAGTTTAAATGCGCACATCGTGGTACTATTAATGAAATTTTACAATAAGCCATTATATATTTTACAATTTACTGAAACGCGAAAGAAACGCAACATAATATTTAAGGGGTTAATATTAGATATAGAATATAATGTTGTATCTAAAAAGTCAGGATACCTTCAACTCTGCAAATATCGGTTATTTAACGGTTGAATGATTTTATACCATTACCTGAAGTTAAGTTTGAGTCTGCTTAAAAAATAAAAGTTAGAATGTTTAACAAAACATTTGGCAATAATATAGGGGTTTAGGGGTTTATAATATTTTCAATATTTCGAAAAAAAATAAATTCTCCTTTCTTTTTTCCGGAAGCGATGCCAAAGCATTTCCATTGCTCTAGCTAGAAAATCTCAAAATAAAGGTGATGGAGAATTCCAGATGCAAATATGCACTACATCACGCCTTAACAGGCTCATGTGTATCAGCGTAATAAATGACAGTCCGTGGACCGGAAGTCCAAGGGTTACTACACTGCGCTAGGTTAGAGAAAATCTTCAATATCTGGAAAACAGGCATTTAAAAATGCCCCCCCCCCAAAAAAAAAAGTTAAAGATATCCAATAAACATTTTCATCAAATCTCTGATGTTTGAAAATCGAGTTTTACCTAACTGTATTCATTTGTTTTTTGAAAATCATTAGATAAAAAAATCAAACATTTATATATATTTTATTGCTTGTTGCGTTTCTTTTGCGTTTCAGTATATTATTAAGGTATGCATTCTTACATATACAAGTACTTTGTAATTCAAACGGTGACTTTATATAGATATATTACACGTAATTAGATACAAATGTAATGGGTTTTTTATTAATTTGATTTTCTTGTCTAATTTCCTTTCTTCTACTGTCGTTTCCTAACACATACAAAAAAACTGTTTTCAAATTTGTTAGCAAGAATAAAGTTCACAGTCTTTTCATTCCTTCTTCACTAGCACTGTTGTTGAGTGTTGTCGGGGTCCGCACCATTCAGTCTGAAAGAAAGCAAACAGAAACTTCTATTATAGTAAGTTACTTCAAAAAGAAAAAAATACGGAAAAGTGCACTCCATAAATTTGTCGAAATCTGACATGACGGTGATTTCGTCTTCATTTGATGTTGTGCTAATTGTTAATGAGCGTTAATTTGCGATTGATAGCCATCTCTAAACTTTACCAGAGAAGGCTGGCACCCTAGTGCGACACCGCATCATCGCTCGTTAGTCGCTTAAGTGCCATGTTTTTCTGATGATATCGCGGTATTGTGCGAGATCTCGCGCGTCATCTGAAACGATTAAAAGGTACACCGATCCCCACGAGATGGCCAGTGGAGACATTGCTGAATTAAATTAACGATGATCTGAAATATCTTTATATCGATTTAAACTTTCTAATGAATCACAGAGATGTATGGATAAAATTCTAATTTGTATTAATCCAAAAAAGAAAGTTTTTTTTTTCATTACATGTACAAGTAACCAGAAAGATCAAATACCAATAAGCATATATTATTATTTTTTTTTAAAACTTTTGCCCAATCAAATTTGTAAAGTTAAAAGACAATAAAATATTTTAAAATCAAACCAGATACATATATACAACAATATTTTTATTTTTGTTTGGTTTAACTTTATCTTATTCCCCCCCCCCCCCCCAAAAAAAACAATTTGCAAAAAAAGCCAAAATTTGGAAAGAGAGAAAATCTGGCCTTAATTTATTCTATAGAGTAATATATTTTAAAAACCATCATATGATGATGATGCTATTTAGAATTATACTAGATTTATAATTACATATATGCGCACGTATTAATCACGCAGGAAAAGCGTTAACTTTACTTTACGTGTTACAAAATGAAATCACATATGACTCCGAGGGAAAAATTCTACTTAAAAAAGTGATATATCTAAAACCTCCCTGTACATGTTTTCTATAAAAAAGTGATATATATATATATATATATATATATATATATATATATATATATATATATATATATATATATATATATATATATATATATATATATATAAAACCTCTGATATATATTTTTATTCCTGTACAAGTTTACTTGCATTTGCCTTATATAGGTTAGTTGTTACTATCATAACAATTTTATAATAAAAGTCATAATAGTCAATGCATTTTTTTATGGAAGAAGATATTTGAAACACGCTATAATTATGCAATAAACCTGAATTTAATTCTTCACTGATTTGCTGTACTAACACTAGGTAGCCAATCAAGGGTTTACAACCCGCTTACTAGTACGATAACTAGATTACTAGTAACTTCAATATAAATCGCAATTAATTTAGCTGCAAATACTTAAAATTCACTCGTAGATTTTTCCAACTTACATGAATCGGGTATTCTATAGCTAGATAATAATCGCTTTCACGCTATGATGGTCACAATCTGAATATTAAATTCTTATGGAAATTCTGTACACCATCAACATTTCGTAGGAAAACAAATATTTGATTTTAACGTAATTTTTTTTTCAGATTGTGATGGCCAAAGGCTATAAAATAGCAAACCATATAACGCCACGACATTTGAATTTTCAGGATACATCTTGCCTTATCCACCTCTTCTAAATTCTAATTTCAACTTTCAATTGCACAAATACATGTGTATGTACATGTATACTAGTATCATTCAAACATAAATACAGATAATTTTGCATACTATCAATGTCAAGTTTCGGAACTTTCCAAAGCATAAAACCTTGACAATGTGAGGATGGTTGTTTTTTTCCCTGTAGACAATAAATTACGTTATAAAAGTTTGTAGATGATGACAATCCTGCATGTGATACATGGAAATATTATTTTCTCGAAAATATTGTTGTATTTAAACAAAAAATGTATACTGTATCAATTTTATGTGTCAATAACATTTAATTTGTTCCAATAAGTATAAATTAAAATCATACTTATATCTTAGTTGTGACGTGTGACGTTAAATTGATTTAATTTTAAGAAATTTTAAAACACAAAGTACAAAAACTTTTTCATTATCAAAATAAAATTCAAAATATTTTCGAAAAAAAGGAAAGGTAATTTAAAAGTCTTTATGATCTTCTGCAACTACAGAACCTTTTTTTTTTTTTACTAGCAATCAATTTAATACAAAGATTGACATCTATTGATATTTTGTTAGAGAGTGTGTGCATTTATGAACAGAGGTTATAGAATACCAGGTAGATTTGACAACAGAATCCCTGCCTGATTTCAACACTGTATCGAAAAATGCTCAAAGAAGCTTTGTCTTTATAAAAGAAAAGTAAGATTAACAGAAAACTAATTGATATTAATTTCACACTTACCGGTCATAAACGGTCTCCGTGCACACCCTCGGATTCCTCAGGGAGGGGACAAACTCCGTCCAGTTCTTCTGTGGCAAACCGACAGGAAGACTCGCGACGAACTCCAACATGGCGCAAACTTCTGGCTGAATTCTCCGGGAATGCCGGACATTTGGCGATCAGGAACGGCCTGACTTTTTCTTTTTTGTCTTCTGGAGCAGGTATTGTAGCTTTTGCTGTTGGTTTATCAGAAAAAGGGGTCTGGAAGTAAGACTGCCCAAACATCGGGTGACTAACGGGTGTTCGGTACGCTGGATGGTGATAACTTTCAGGTGTCTGAGTATTAGGTCCGGGAATATCTTGGACACGTGTATTCGGGGAGAACATTAGCTGTCGTCTGGGAGTTTGCGCTCCATGAGCGGCATATGCTGCGATAATCATACTGCTTCTCAGGGGCGAGAATGGCTCATGCGGAAGTCTCATTCCCAAGGCAGGAAGTGTCGCCTGTGACAATGCCAAACCGTGTCGTCTTTGGTCGTCCTTTACTAGCATATCCGTCAGTGCTTTGATATAAGCAATAGCCAGCCTCAATGTTCGGATCTTAGACATGCGTCGATGATATAAATGGTACTGCTGGGGTATACATCTCCTCAAATCTGCCAGCGCAGACGACATTTTCTTCATCCGTCGTCTTTCCATGAAATTAGCCGATCGTCTTCTTTCTTCTATTTCTGCCTCCGACAGGTTAAGTTTGTCAAATTTTTTAGTCCCTTTACATTTTGATACGATTTGTGTTTCTTTTTCTGTTGTTAAATCTATGGGCGACTCTTCGTCTTCGATTTGGAAAATTTGGTTATTGCCTTCCTCTGCCATGATTGCAATGTTCCCGCAGACGACTACCGTTTATTCCTTCCTCAATTCAATACAACAAGTGTCTGTAACCAAGTTAACGGGGCATCTCTCATCATATAAAGATCCCCCTTGATGGGCGGGGGACGCTGTATGGGGGTCGTAAATTTACTTTGGGTCGCCAGTGTCCCCGCTGTGATTCAAGCTGGACCGTGTAAACTGCCACTACGGCTTTATAACGAGAATCTAATAACTCTCAGATTGTGCTAAAGACACATATTTATCTATTTCTTTCACACAATCACGCTAAATAAAGGGGTCTCTTCTAGTCTGTCTTTGATTCTAACAGCCAAAGAACATAGCACCAGATTAACAAACGCATTGTGGTCTTCCTGTCCCGTGTCAGAAAGATTTCTTTTCAAGGAAATTTGAACAGTCGTTCATTTTTAGATGCATTGCCATTGGCGTTCATTTGAAGACATATATGTATTATTTCCTTTCAACATTAAAAAGACGAAAACGGTGACATATTCCTTATTTTGTCGAAATGCCCTGTATATGCCCTGTTATTCTATTACCAAGTCTTTGATCAATTCGTTTTTTTTTTTGGTCACTTAAAAATTTTTGTTAAATATAAGAAATTTACAAAAGTGATTTTACAAAGTTCCTCCAAAAATCCGGCTATAGCTGCGGCACATTAAGTATTAGGCGGTTTTGATATGTAAATACTAGTATCTTTCACTTGTTTTAACAATTAGATAACATATCAATCCTTATATTTATCAAATATTTGAATTCATTTTCGCGCTTGACCATAATTATTGTAAATAATATCTCACGATCTAGTACAATATGTGACATTGCTAGCAGAATAAAAAAAAAAACACACAATGGATTTCAAAACTTAAAACACAGAACTGCATATAAGAAGAGAAACCATTTTAAAAAGAAAATAATCTACAAAATTTGTTTGCGAAACTCCATTTCTCTTAAATTACTTTTCAAAACTAATAGTAATATTAGAAATAATCTTATTTACCATGATAAAAAAGTACAAAGGATAATGTTCTTTAATTATTGGCCTATAATGGAGGGGAGCTTATTATTCAGTAAGGATCGGGAAACAGGCTTAAGTCTATGCACACTCTCTCCTTGTATAATAGGTCAAAACAGAGACCATAAAATAAAACACTTGTACATGATAATAAACCTCTCTCTACCATCGATTCACACAATCAGTGTCTGATGAACGAACGACAACTCTGCATGGGAGATTAGATAATAAACATGCTAATTAATGAAGGAGGATGAATATCCGGACTTTGGCTGCGCCCATGCGTGCTATATATTTTATAAGGAGTGCATATAAGCATTGAAATACGTCTAGATGATCTCTTGTTCATGGAAAACACTTCCGGGAAGATGGAAATAACAAAAATATGAGGTGTATAGGTTTTTTAAATGAGCATAACATGATTTAGCTTTAATTAACACTACTATAGTATCAGATATATTTTCTTGTATTAAAGCAAAAATATTTAAATATTTCTTTTCTAATAAATGTAACTAAACCACCTTCTCTATAAGTCTTACGAGTATGGTTGGCCGTTCTACTCACAATTATTTATTTTTAAGTTAATTAATTGTGAGTTAAATGGCCACATTGCATTTTTACTCCAATAAAGTAGAAAATTATTTTTACTGGAGTTGAAATAATTTTACAGAGGTTTTGTGTACTTGGTATATGACATGACTTACAATATTGTTCATTTAGAAACATCCAAGTCATACTTTAATATGTTAATCTAACTATATATATATTCTGTGCAAGAACGAGGAAAAAATAACATGATAAAGTAAATCAAAGTACTGAAAGTACTGAAAAGCGGTTAGCATGCTTTCATCGAATATGTACAGTGTACAATAACAAAAAATGCATTGAATCATGATATTAAAGTAGGCATGCATATCTTTTTCCAGTGTCATCAGCGAAGAAGCAGACACACTGAATTTTGTAGTACTTAACTAAATGGTATAACCAATAACATCCCAGACTGATGTCACAAATTTTTGTTTTAAAATATCAACCTGAGATTTTCAGTTTGAAAGACAGGAAGTTCAATTTCAAAAATTTCTCCCTAATTGTCTCCATTGGTGGAGTCCAAAAGTGCTCAGAACAAAAAAAAAAATTATGTTGATGTTGCAAATTTAATTGGCTTTCATGCTCTATTGATTCTGAAATTAGGTAACTGTAAAGGCTACTATAGCAAACAACTCAAAAAGAAAATAAAATGATAATTCAAATTCTTTAGATTAATTGATTTGGAGTACTGTACATAGATCTTTAGCTGGCTAGTCTGAGAAAAACGGATGAACGAGCAGAGAATTAATTAATTTCAGAGAGCTTCAGTTTCGTAGGCTCACTGCGGGTCAGCAGGTGTGACCTGTCATTGGGGATGCTCACTTCTCCTAGGCACCGGAACTTTCAAGGATCCGTTTTTCTTTTGAGACCGATCACTGTTCATTCTGTATTTTGATACAGATACTGAGTACATCTGTTTATTAATATTATGAACTATTTCTCTCACAGGAAGAAAGACAAGTAAACAAGATAATAAAGTTTTAAGAAATGTACATTATTGACTTTTCATACAATTAAATGTTCGAATAAGTAAATGGTATATGACAATTATTTAAAAAAGAGTCTTGCACGATATGTATAAACGAACATATACTGAGTATTTGGCAAATATTTTTCATGAAATATTGTAAAAAAAAAAAAAAAAAAAAAAAATTCTATCAATATGTCTGTAAGCATCTGTATTTTAATTTTTATTTTTTCTCAAAGGCTCAAAATGATAATTAACGAATTGAACAAATTCAAATTTAAAAAGTATTTTTACAACTTATACCTTGCATAGGAATTTAGCAAACATTCAAAAATAATCATTCATTAGATATAATTTTCAATTTGTGCTTATCGTCAAGATTTTTCATGCCTCTTTTTTCTGTGCATATTTTATATCGGCTGATTTTTAGAAAAGGATCGAATGCCGATTAAATTTTTTTCTCCAATTTTTTAAAATTAATTTTAGTATTTTCAGGCTCCCATTATTTTTTTTTTAAAATAAAAATGTGATCGTTTAAAATCGTTTGTAATAATTAGACTGAGTACAGAATTTATCCCTGGAAACAAAGCTTTTATCATCTTTTAAATAATTTCAATTGAGAAAAAAAAGGAGAAGAAAACAAACGTTTCATTATGGAAGTAATCCATAACTTTACAAATTACAGATGTATTCAGTATTTTTATATAAAGGTTTTCTTCGTGTACTAGTATTACTTAAGTTAATAAAAGGGATGCCTAAATATTTTGCAAAATGAAACTCGATTGAGAGATTCTCCGATGTTTTGCAGTCGGTAATAACCTTCAACCCCTTTAGCCAGTAATTAACCCGTCCTCCCTGTGCCCAGTAGCATAATTCGGTCAAATATTTATTGTTCATGAGGGGTGCCTTATAATTAATCACAGGCACCTGAATTTTTATCAGTAAGTCTCTAAATTAGCCAAATATCGAAACATTCTACCCCCTCTATATATAAATACACAAGGTGTCCAACGCCATTTTGACCACCTGTTCGATTCAGGCTTCAATTTAACACATAAATCGGAAATGCCTACTGGTTTTCGTGTAACATTGGGTTCAAATATGATATTTCTCGCTATACATTTCTTCCTAAAGTTTAAATCTAACGCGTTGATAATGTTATCAGCTAAACTTCATGCTGACTTCGAATTTCGTCACAGGGCCCGATCGCCATCAGCTGATGTCACGGAAATTTAATCTCGACACCAAATGCTCCTATACATAAACTTTTTTTAATACTGTAACAACAATTATAAATTTATTTCATTGACAAACAAAATCAGAAAAAAATTAAAAAACCGAAAGATTATGTTGTTTTGATAGTCTTGATTTTATTTAACATATGTTATATGTGTTAGAAAACTAGGTAGAGGCTTTGTTGAAGTTTCCGTTGTCGATAGGTAGCGCCTTATGGAAGTTTCCGGTGTCGACAAAAATCGGACACATGCCATAAAGCGGTTAGCGAAGCTAACCGCTTAAAAATTAATTTTGTAACTATACGGTAATACACCTCTAGGCTTAGCACACCGTATTGTGTGCTAAGCGTAGAGGTGTATTACCGTATAGTTACAAAATTAATTTTTTACTTTATCATGTTATTTTTTCCTCGTTTTTGCACAGAATGTATATATCAGAAAGTAATTGATATATATTGATCTATATCTTATTGTTCAAACATATTTCTACAATACCTACTCTGTATACGATGTATCATAACCGGGTCAGCCTCATTCTGGACTCCAGCCTTAATTGATGTTAAATCCTAACCAGCAAAGGTTTAGGAAGGCAGAGTCCCGAATGACATTGGGCCGATCATGCATATGTTTAATATCCACCAGGATCTTATTAAATTCCGCAGTGAGAGGTTAACCAACTGAAAAACTCTTTTACTTCTCTGTTGACCACTGACCAATTATTTACGAAAGCTTTTATTTCACCCCTCTTGGAAACTGGTTTGCCTGTATAAATACAACAGAGTGTATTCACTCATGTGTAAGAGCTCCGCCCTGACCATATTCATTATTTTATCAAAATTTTCAACTACAAACATCAATTTGCGACTTGAATTTTTACTTACATTTCTGTACCTCTTTATCCTTTTGACTTTTGAAATACAGTTTAAAATTCATATCAAACTTCTTGCAAAATCTTTACTTTTAATCATTTTGTTGATAATTTATTCCAGTGGTTGACCTTTCGCCTGTTACGTAGGATTGGCTGTCTTTGGCTGTCTATGACCAAAAATGACCTGACGAAATCAAGTTTCATCACACTCATGCAACCACCGCATTTCTCAGGTGATAAGTTCAGTCAGCATCTTTGACTATTTTTATCTGATACAAGGAAATATCGATCCCCTCGTGTCCTATCGTTTCTCTCACACACTAATTTCTGTTATTTACATGTTTCTATTTTTAAGCAGTTC